AGAAAGAAAGAAAGAAAGAAAGAAAGAAAGAAAGAAAGAAAGAAAGAAAGAAAGAAAGAAAGAAAGAAAGAAAGAAGACAAAGATGTTGTGGCACCTTAAAGTCAAACTGCTATATGTTCACGTGAGCTTTTACAGACCAGTCCACTTTCTGAGACATAAGTGCGGGACTACATGGCAAATATTTATACATTTATACCTTCAACCATTGCTGGAAGAGACTATATTTTTAACAAGCTTGCTTTTTCTTTTTTCTTTTCCTTCTTCCTAGGAACATGTTGTTCACAGTACACCATGTCACACCTGGCAATGACTTTTATGTCCCGTAGCCATTGTTTTTAGTACAGTTTCATCTGCACCTAATTCGATGCGAATGGTGGGGGTCAATGTAGAGGGTGGAGGGCCCTGAATTCCTCTCTCCCTGCTTCCTTTTGAAGGGGGGGGAGGAGAAGCAGCGGTGGTTGTGAACGGTCCAAACCAGAAGTGATCTGTACACACTCAGGAGATCAGACCCCACCCCCAGAGAGAGAAAGTGGAGCAGAGCAAGAAATCATCCTTTTTTCCCCCAGTGCCCCGAAACAAGACACAAAGGGTTTTTATTATCCTGATTTGGAAAGATTCTGGCGTTTAACCTGGATTCTCTGATTTGCTTTGCAGTTCTGCCCAAGAGCCCTTCAGCTACGCCCGGAAGGATGTCTCGGATTCGGGAGAAACGGCGGAGAGCATGCAGCGGATCCACAAGGGCCACGTGATGCAGTTGCAGAGCGTGAACGGGGAGGTGAGCACCCTTTTTGGCTTGGGGGTTTTTTCCTGTTTTGGGACACGGGACGCCGACAGAAGGAGCCGCGGCGTCCTTTGGCTCAAACCGCTTTCCAAAGAGGACAGACACCTTCCTCTAGGTGGAAAGAGCTGCCTTGTAAAACAGGTTTCCTCCCCCTGCTGGCCATGGTGGTTGGGGAGGATGGGGCTTGTAGTCTAACCCATCTGTGGGCACTAGGTTGCGGGAGGCTGTATCATGAACAGGGAGCCGGACGGCCCAACCTGTGCCCAAAGGAAGGAAGGTATAACAACAGGTTTAAGGACGCATTGAGGTTTAGAAAAGTGCGTGAGATATGCTCATTAAAATACAGTTGAATAATTAAAAGCAGGTCAACAGGAGAAACTATCGTAACTTTTAAAAGGCACTCAGGGACTCAGTCGTGATGGTTAAAAGCCTGCCTGCAGAGACGGGGTCTTTTCTGAATGTGCCCAATCTTGTCTGATTTTGGAAGCTGAACAGGGCAGAGATGGGTCTTTTCTGAATGTGGCTGATCTTAACTGATTTTGGAAGCTAAGCAGAGTCAGGGCTGGTGAGTCCCTGGATGGGAGACCCCCTGGAGAACCAGGGCAAGGTGGAAAAGATGCCCGCTTCTTCTTGAAACCCATGGCTGCCGGTCAGGCTGGTGAGCCCCTGGATGGGAGACCCCCTGGAGAACCCCCTGGATTTCCAGGGCAAGGTGGAAAAGACACCCGTTTCTTCTTGAAACCCATGGCTGCCGGTCAGAGTTGATCCTTCTGGCCTGGATCGAGGAAGGGGTAAACCTGATGCACGGCTGTTTTTTTAGCATTGCTTGTTATCCAGAGAGAACACGTAGTTGGCTGACTGAGACCCCTTCCCCGAGGTAGCTGCTGCTGACGTGGCTGTGTTTGCTGTCCACTTCCTGGTTGGCCTCTGAACCGTCTGTCCTGCTCGCGAAGACAGCTGGAGGGAGCTTCCATGTCTAAAGGCAGTCTATCTCCAAGGGCAAGCTGCTGGGCAGCAGGAAACACGGGAGAGCATCTCCTGTTTTGGTGCCCGTCAACATATGGGCCTCCCTGGGGGGGTCTGGATTTTGTGGGCCACTCTGCAAATAGAACAAGGGACAAGAGAAGCTGGTGGTCTCCTCCTACAGGGCTGGTGCTCTTATTTGAAAAGAAGTTGAATTTTTAAGACCATGAAGTCCGGGGGTCCCTTGAGCCGGGCTTCCAAAGAATATGATGGACCCGGGACTCTTGCTGGGAGATGTTTCTATTATGGACTTGCATGCTGGTTGGAGAAGATTCTACTGCAAAAAAACACAAACACCTATACAACCTAAATTTCCCAAAACTTTTTAGCCACTAGAGGGTGCCAGAGGGCTTTTTCAGTTTTTTAAAAAACTGCTTTTATTTTTTTTAAAGAAGCATTAGGATGTGTGTGTGCACAGAAGAAGGTACAGCTCTCCAAAATCCAGAAGATTCTGCACCGCAGATTTCGGCTTTAAATCAAGCCGTCCATTGCCATGTTGTCCTTTCTGTTGGTTTATCAATTCACGTTTGACAGAGATTAAGCTTTCCTTTGTGGGGGGGGGCGGAGTCTGGTGGATGTGGGGAGGAAAGAAAAAAAAATAAATCGGAGATTAAGCTTTCCTTTTTTGGGGGGGGGTTGAGTCTGGTGGATGTGGGGAGGAAAGGAAAAAAAGAGAAATCTGTCGTCCCCCCCCCAAAAAAAATTCACGTTGAGAAGTTCTGCCAGCTTCTGGGAACGATGACCGGATCTCCCCAATCGGTTCTCTTTTCTCTGCAGCTGGCGTACAAACTCTACGAGCGGAACATGTTGCTTAGAGCGAAAGAGGCCACGCTGGAGGAGCAGAAGGGCAGGTAGGGGCCTGGAAGGGATGGGGTGGGCCTGCGCTGGGGGCTCGAATCTCCCCCACAAAAACTGGATGCGAAAGGTCCCACCCAAACCTGCCCACGGTGGCTGGTTTGACTTTATTGAACCTAATGATCTGCCGCCTTTCCTCTGATGAGCTTAAGATGGTGCCTCTGTCTGCCTTTTTCCTGTCCTCCTTCCTTTTGGTGGCCAAGTGGCCCCCAACGCATGGCGATCCCATGAAGGACCCCTCTCCAGAATCTCCTTTCTTCCACGGCCCGGCTCAGCTCTTGTAAACTCAAGACGGTGGCTTCTTTTAGGGAATTGGTCCATCTCATATTTGGGTCTTCCTCTTTTCCTGCTGCCTTCAACCTTTCCCAGAGTGATGGCCTTTTCCAACCTTCTCAAGATGCTCCCAGCATTTCAGTTTCAACCTTTTTTTTGCTTCCAGAGAGAGTTCAGGCTTGATTTGATCTAGGACCCCCTTGTTAGTCTTTCTGGCTGTTCAGGGTCTCTGCAAAACTCTTCTCCAGGGCCACATTTTGAATGAATCCGGTGCCTAATTCCCCATCACTGCTATTTACTTAGTTATTAGAATTAGCTACAGGAATAGACTTGTTGTTTCCTCTGGAATGCTCGGGAGGGTGTCCTTGTTTCATCCCCACAACCACCCTTTGAGGTAGGACCAGTCTTCAGAAGAGTAGCCGGCCCATGGGCACCCACTGAGTCTCATGGCTTGAACCCAGCTCTCCCAAGACTCAGCCAAGTGCCGCCTGCTGCTCCATCCCCTCTTTTGGGGCGCCGTTCCATATAGGCAATGCCGCACCCCCCAGGGCACAGGGGTTGGATGAGATCCTGTCTGGGTGCAAAACCAAATTCTGGCATGGAACGTCTGCTGAGAGTCAAGCATCGTCTCTCAGCAGCCCCTCCCCGATCTGGTTGTTGTGATGATGGAAATGGGGTGGGGGTGATGGGGAGGGGAGGCGATGGGCCTCCAGCTTTCTTGCATCAGATCTAAAACGACTGATCCACAGAGCTTCCGAAAGCTGATTTTGGACAGCCCTTCCCCACCTCCGCCACTCCGCCTGCACAGCGGAGATTGTGGGCATTGTCGTCCGTGTAAGGGGAGCGTTTTCCAAAGCTGTGCAGATCAGTCTGTTCAAAAGGTCCCTCCCGGTGCCCGCGTGCCCCTTTCTCGACCCCCTAGAGGTGGTCCTCGCTGTACTGGTGGTAAAGAAAGGGTCGGGGTGTGTTTATTTGTGGGGAGAGTGGAAGACTAACCCCCCCCCCTTCTGCCCAATCTCTGTTCCAGGCTGGCCTGGCTGAGCGGACGGCTTTCCGCCTTGGAATCCGAGCGGCGCCAGCTGAGGGCACAGGTGGAGGGGCTGAGCCGTGCCAAGGCCGCTCTGAAGGAGGAGTACAAGGCCCTGCTCCAGCGCCGCCGGTGCCAGGATGGGGAGCTCCGCCGGGCGGCCGAGAAGGGTCTGAAGCTGCTCAAGGGCCTCCTGCAGGGGAAGGCGGACGCCGCTCAGCAGGAGAACGAGAGGATCGAGAGGTGAGGGGACCTCCTCACTGTTCCCCCCTCCTCGGAACGGACAAGGGGCTCATCTGCCAGGATGTGGGCACAGGAAGGGGGCTGTAAAGGTTGGGATGAGGGAGCTGCCTCCTCTCTCTCTCACTCAAAGGTCTCCAGCTCAAGTGTTCCCCTGGATCTTGTTTTTTTTGGGGAGGGGGGGAGTTCCAGGAAAGACCTAAAGGTCCAGAAAGGGGCAAGGGAGAGGGTTCCCACAGACTGAGTGGCGCCGGCTCTTCAGGTTATCCCAAAGCCCTGTTTCTCGTGCGGAACCACCTCCGTTCCAAAGAGAACGTTGCAAGCTGGGTAGAAGAATCAGGACGTTGGATGGGGGCCCCTTGAAGGGCATCCAGTCCAACCCCCTGCTCAAGGCAGGGATCCAAAGCAAACCTCACAGCGCTTGCCTTCTTCTTGCAGAGCGAAGCAAGCCAGGTTGTCCAAGGAGTTGAAGAAAGCCGCCAAGACGACGGTTAGCGTGCAGGTGTAAGTGGCTGGTGGAGGGTCCCGAAGGAGAAGCGAGACCATCTGCCCCCCCCCCCTTCTCTCCCTTTGCTCTTGGCCTCACTTTTCCTGAGCAGATGCCAAAGGTCCACAGATACCGCATCTCCTGGAATTCATAAGGACTTCACAAAGGGTGGTGGAGCATCGCTCCCACCCAAGAAGAAGCCTGTGGCTTCTTATTCTGGTCATTATCATCAACAGAACTGTTGTGTAGCGGGAAGGGACCCAAAGGTCAATATTGTGGCGATGCGGACAATTCGTGGGTGAAGCGCCCCTGGAAGACTTAGGTGGTGAGAGAAGAGAGGGTTCTTTAAAGGGGGGGGGAGTTAATGTGTTGTCCAGGAGAAGCCAGGCACGTTTGCGGCTTGTGCCAGATAAACTTTGTCAGTCTTTATGGGTGCCACAAAAAACATCACAGCAACATCACCCTTAACTTTCCTTCAGTGGAAATTTTGGTGATGAGCTGTCCATTTATCATATTTGCTACGCCTCTGGTATCTTAAAAGTTCTCCTTTCTGACTTTGGGGGCAAAATGGGATCAGATCTTACGGTAGGATCCCCTTATCTGTGGGATCAGTATCCTCTGATTCACTTATCTGCTGCCTGAAAACAGTAAAAATGTTAAAAGAAAAATCCTAGAAACACAGTGATGCCCCGCTGGACGATTACCCCGCTTGACGACAAATCCGCTTGACGTTGAAGTTTTTGTGATCGCTTTTGCGATCGCAAAACGATCTTTAGATGGGGGAATTTCGCTTAACGTTGATTGTTTCCCTGCTTCGGGAACCTATTTTTCGCTTTACGACGATCAGCAAACAGCTGATCGTCGGGTTTCAAAATGGCCACCGGCTGTAGAAAATAGAACTGATCCACTGTAGATAGAGGAGTCCTACTCAATTTTTTTTTTTTACTTTATAAACCCCATCTCATTATTTCATACATTCCTATAATCTTTCCTGCTTCTCCCATGGAACGGCTTCACAGCTGAGCCTTATCAGCAGCCAATGCATGCTTTTTTAAAACTAATAATAATTATAATTTAAGAAAACAACACAAGAAAGTCACAGAGAACCAGAGGCTGCTGAAGACCAGGTGGTTTAGGGAAGCATTTAGTAATGTTTTCCCCCGAGGTGACCGTGGGATTGGGTTTTATTTTGCCCCACCTACCACTACTGTTAAGAGATGTTCTGTTATGTCTAGGTCTTATAATTCAGTAGAATCCTAGAATCATAGAATCGGAAGGGGGCCTTGAAGGCCATCCAGTCCAACCCCCTGCTGAAGGCAGGAATCCCAATACAAGCAGATCGGACAGATAATTGTCTCTTTTTCTCTTGAACGCCTCCAGCGTTGGGGTGCTCACCACCTCCCAAGGTCATGAGTTCCTTTCTCACGATTGTTCGATTGTGTTTGCGAATTAGAGGCAATTATAGCGTTTGGGGTTTTTTTGTGAACTGCCCCAGGTAGTGCTTTACGCTAACTTGGTCAGGATACAAAGGCACGTCATCAATAAATAAAAGAAATAAGAACAACCATTTGTTGACGTCACCCAATCTGTAGGTATCGCTGCAGTTGATTAATGATGCAGTTGTTTAGTCGTTAGGTCGTGTCCGACTCTTCGTGACCCTATGGACCAGAGCAAAAAGTGCGCCAGGCCCTCCTATCTTCCACTGGTTCCCGTAGTTGTGTCAATTTCATGTTGGTGGCTTCGCAAACACTGTCCAACCATCTCGTCCGCTGTCGTCCCCTTCTCTTCTTGCCTTCACACTTTTCCAACATCAGGGTCTTTTCCAGGGAGTCTTCTCTTCTCGTGAGATGGCCAAAGTACTGTGCCTACTAGGCTTCCGTTAGCTTTCGATGGGCATAATTATGCAGTAGGGCTATACATATATATATGTTGTTGTTGTTTAGTTGTTAAGTCGTGTCTGACTCTTCGTGACCCCATGGACCATGGGGCCCTCCTGCCTTCCAGGCCCTCCTGCCTCCCGGAGATGGGTCAAATTCATGTTGGTCACTTCGATGACCCTGTCCAACCATCTCGTCCTCTGTCATCCCCTTCTCCTCTTGCCCTCACACTTTCCCAACATCTGGGTCTTTTCCTGGCAGTCTTCTCTTGATGTAGAAAGAAAGAATGATGTAGAAAGAATCACAATTCATTTGGAGAACAGCAAAAGCAGGAAGAGTCGTCATTAAAATCACCTGAGAGAGAAAAACAGTTACTGATTGTATATACCTCATCCCACTATGTGGCCTGAAGAGTGTGGAGGAATATAATGAGCTTTATTGTAATTAGCCTCTTTGTTCTGAAACCCTTCTACCACACGTCGAGCTCTTGGAGAGCATCAGGAGGCCGATCCATAGCCATGCATGCGTGGCTTGCTCGGTACCTTTTTACATCTTTTGCTTGACACAGACGTGAAAACAGAAAGCAAGGAATGCTTGGCCCCGTGGGTGGCAAATGCATCATGCAAAAGCTTTTGCTAGTGAAGGTATTTCTACAGTGCCGCCGTGTTCACGGGGCTTTCTAACCTGCTGCGTGTTATTCCTCCCTGTTAGAGAACCGGAAAAGCAGGATACAGGCAGCCGAAATCTTCCTGAAGAGGAGAACAGCGAAAAATTGCGGAGCAGGCCCTTTCGGTAAGGCGCTACCTCTAGAAGGAGGAGGACTTTTGAACCTCCTGGATTTGACCTAGGACCCTCACACATTTATTTCTCACAGTATGTCCATTTTTTCCTGCTTCAGAGCAGGTGGAATGGGCAAGCACAGTCTTGCTATTTCATCAAGGTTCTAGTCCTCATGGATATCAGGTCTGAAAGGAGCACAGGCAACATCTACGAGAGGCTTGATGACTGGCGGGCTTAGAGCGTCTGTGCTTGTGCAGAGTCATCGGCCCCCGTCTCTTATCCCGAGGTTTCTTCTCCTGTCCTGCATTTAATTTCTAGAATAGAAACAGCCAGATGAGATCAGCAGAGCTGACCATATCCCGGATGCGTATCCACCCACCCACCCACCCTTGGCATAGTTTGTGCATTGTTTTCCTGCTTTCTCCCTTCTCTCGAATTCCTCCTCTTTCATCATCTTTTCCATTCCATCTTTCCATTTAGATCGGCGTCCGCTTCCTCTATGACACTCACCAGATACATGGACGTTTTCAAGGGCCTGTTTGAGTAAGTTGTTGACTTAGTTTGTCTTCATTCCGTATGGCTCAGGTCTGGAATACCTGTTCCTTGTTTCGAATTGCCACAAAAAGTTGAAAAAGTTTGGAAAGGTGGCAAGCTTTGAAACTACACAGAACTCTTCTTTGTGGGAAATAATTTCGTCTGTGTGATTCCTGTCTTTGGGTCCAGAAAAGCAGCCACCTTTGAACTGACATGAAAAGCTAGCAAATTCATTGTGGGTAGCTCACGTTTCCCCCGTCTTTCCGCTCTCCGTGCATCAGCAGTTTGGAATTACTATAATCTAAAGTTTGCATAATTTACAAACTTCAGAATTTCAGAAATGGGTTCAAATGTTTTTAAACTGGCAGGTGATTCCCTCCCCTTTCCCCCCCCCTTCTGGAACAGGATTCATTAGCAGTTGCATTAATTTTTGTGTGCCCTAAGATGATGCTGAACTTGCATTTCCAGATTGGGCAAGGGAGACCTGGGTGGGGAGGTCATTTCCTGATTCAAAGTGAGGATAGACTGGGAACAGCTCAGATGATTTTGACCCGGAGTTGTGTCCAAACCGAAAAATATGTAGCTGGAATGCAAAAAAAGGGGTTTTGCATAGGTGGCAAAAACATCTGGGAAACAGCTCCCAAATATACAGAGAGATCAGAACAGCTCTCCTTTGACTAAAGCATAGATGGCGTGGTGCTTTTAAGCTTAGGATAAAGGATGGAAAACACCACAGAGGTGTGTGTAAAATAGCTCAGGTAGATACACAGAAGCTTTTTTTCCCTCCCTTTCTCCTAATAAGGGAAAACTACTAGAGGCCTTCCAACACAACTGAGGTGTGAGGGATTTGGCACAGATAAAGAGATGGCTATTTAACAGTGCAGCTGGTGAAATGGTGGAAGTCACTGCCACAAGATGTAGTGACGGCTGCCAACTCCCAACTGTTCTAGAATGAGAGGCCCCTGTGGAGGTCGGGGGCCATCTGTGGCTACCAGTAGGGGTGGCCGGGCATCGCCTGCGGGACCAGAAGCGAATCCCGGCCCTTGTTCTGGGAGTTATGGCTAACTCCTTGCCCTGGGAAGCCAGGGAGGGGACTGGAGAAAACTGTATGAGCCATGGGGGGGGGGGGG